AAGAACAGCAATAAAAGTTCATTCTGGGCAAGTCAAATAACTTGGACAGGTGAAAATCAGAGCTTCACGATGTCATCTTTGAAGATACTACTGTATACAATATAAAACAGGACTTACACATATTGCACAGAAAAGTGAATGTTATAATTTACTTCTTGAAGAGTATCTACTGCAGCTGAAACTATGTTAAAAAATATGTGGCCTGAAGCTAATAAATCTGGGGAACACACTAAGAAGCTGACAGTGTGACAGTGAGCTCAAAGATCGAAGGATTGAGAAACAACAGATTCTGGAGCTCTAAGAATGCATGCTACACTCAACAGTGATGCTTTAACATTTTAAAAAAAGCTGCTGACCAATAAGAATAAAGTTCTAAATTCTGAATCCAAAATATTCAAAATGCAAAGATAAATCATTAAGATGCATTTATCCGGACAGTTGTGTAGACCAATGAGCCAATTTATGACGGTCTGCAAAAAATATAGAACTTAGGAATTTTCTCTGTTTACAGCATATCTTTACAGAACAATACACAGACATATTGGGTTTTCGGACTTTATCCATCGTCCTGGTTTTAAGATAACTACGAAAAACACGACCTTTCAGAAACAGGATCTGTTTCCGTCCTCAGGTGAGGGAAAACACCTATTCTGTTAGGTCACTTAGAGAGAGCTAGCCTCAATCACTGGACGACATTCAATCTAAGGGACCCAACAGAATAAGTGTTTTCTCCCTCACCTGAGGACGGAAACAGATCCAGTTTCCAAAACATTATCTTAAAACCAGGATGATGGATAAAGTACGAAAACCTAATATCTGTGTGTTATACACCATCGTCAGAATCCTACAGTAACTACTAGAAGAATACACGGCTAGAATTTTTGACTGCCAACCATTCAGAAATCTAAACTGTAAATTAACGGAATGTGCTCAGTCCTTATTCTGTTGTTGTATTTTACTGACAACTACCACGAGAAATAACTATGTACTGTAAAGTGGAGAGTTCTACAGAAACTCAGTAAATGTAACCTTATTCCACATACTGTATTGTAATTATCATTTACATCATTTCTTAACCCTCAATCCACTTGAACAAACCACTCACACAATCCCAGATCCTTGACATAGTGAACACACTCTTTAAATCCAGGTGAGGTAATTATCCAAATTTTCATCCCCTCTGTTGAAAAGTTCTCAGACTGCTACTGTTTTAACTGCCTCAGTGAAAGATGATGAGAGGTGAGGCCAAGGTCACTCTTCTGCAAGCGTATTGCATGGAACTCTTACCTTTCATATAATAGCGACATAGTTAGTTAACTGAGCTTTTTGAATCCATTTTCAAGAAATAGCTCTGGTAATTTGTATGTTGTCAGAAGTACTCAGTAAATAAAGTTCATGTCCTATAATTGATTTATTCATATATAATTATAATTAATATATATATGAATCCAATGACTGAATTTTTGCATGTCATAGGCTGGTGCAAGATACAGCTCTCTGTAACTTCTGGAGTCAATTTAGAAACCTGTAAACTGTTGACTCCATTTAAGCTGCACTATAAACTCCAGTAAAAAGTGAAGCTATCCCTGTACCAGGCCATGAAGGCCCATAGGGTTGTGAGATGTTGAGGGTCCCACACTATCTAGACAATCAGTTCAAAGATGGCGGTAACGTCAGCCTTACGCGCTGGCCACGCTGTTCCCAGATTGCATGGAAAAAAAGGTGCTCATGACTTTCGGTACGACCTATATATCTCTGTGGTTGTTCCTTTTTCACTGTGTTTCTAGTACTGTTTATTATAGGAATTCTTTCATCCAAGAGTCCAAGTGTGTGAATGTAACAAACTATTCTAGAGACTAGAAAACATGACGTTTCAGTAAGCGTATCTGTTTCCATCCTCAGGTGGGGGGTGGGGAAGACACCTGAAGACAGAAATGGATTCAGTTCCCAAAACGTTTTCTATATATTGCTTATATTCAGCTCTGCTTAGACCAGAAAAATATTCAATGAATCTGGGAACAATAACAGGAGATTTTACCACAATTCTTTAGCCTACAATACACGCTATATAAATTAATGTCATTCATCTCCAATTTTTTGTTCATTAATGTGACAGATGATGATAATGCAGGGTGAGAAGGTAAGTTATTTTCTTAACTGCTACAATTTCAACTTTCACTGTAGTAAGCCTGTATTTGCCTGTGCTGAGTACCTGAGAATTGCTACCAAACAACAATTCTAATCTGGTTGAAATGATGAGAATAAGAGCAAATAAGCAGATGGTGATGATAATGTGAATGTTCTAGTTAACAGAAAGAGATTATCCATTTCTAAATTAACTGGTGCAGTGGGCATGAATACAAGATCTGTTTCAGTAATACTGACAACAGGCTGCTGATAATTTGGGCACCTCCAGACCACTGTTCCTCCAACCATGGTCCATGGGCCAATGGTTATCTGCGGCATTCCACCAGATGGTCCATAATACTATATAGTCCATATAGCTGCATGACATATAATTATAAAATAATTTAAATTACAAGAATTATGATGAAACATTGTAGGAAAAAAATACTTTAAATTTGTGGTTATAAAAAAAGCGATACAAACTTTAAGTTATAAATTTTCTCCCAGTTTCCAAAAAAAAAAAAAAAAGTTGCAACTCCATATGGTTTACAGCTAAGGCCAGCTGAGCAGAATGCATATGCACTGACCACCCATGTAGTGGTCTGCAGTTGCCAAAGTTTCAGAAACACTGTTCTAGACCACTGTTTTTTATATCTGTCTGCTATGTGGATTTGTATGGAAGCTCCAGTTTTGTCCCCTTCCCAACCAGTGCCACTTTTTCTCCAACATTTGCTCCTGAGTTGCCTGGAACCAACGGGAAGAATGGGAAAGACTACCTTCATGAACTGCATGCTCCAATAATGTCTTAGTCAAGTACCAAACACTAAAAATGAATATGTTAGGGTGGTTGTACACCAGTACACCATGCATGGACGTTTCTCCCACATTTGAGAACTTTCATGAAATATGACCATCACTGTCACCTGAGTCTCTCCTGATAACAAACATCATGACTGTACAACATGAAACTTGAGAACAACGGAACAAATTTCAACGGCAGTTGAAATACGGCTTAAATGAAGATTGGCGTTATGCAAGATTGCTACAATTTGAATTCAGTAACTGCCAGTAAAACTTACCATAATTCTTCATAAAATGTATCAATGATGAAATCCAGCCAGCAAGCATATTATAATATGTCGGTGGTACTTAAATTCAACAGAGTTCATCATAAGATGCATTTTCCAACAATGCCACACAATTAAATTTCTGAAGGTGTACACAAGTTCAGGAAGCAATGTGGTAATTGTGTATTGAGGACAGGACGAGGTGATTTATAAAATAAAATTACCACCCCAGTATAGTAATATCCTTCGAGTATTACAAAAACTATTTCTAACTACACTGGTGACCAAGCGAAAAACAGCACACTTTGTAAGTGTGCAGACTCAGTATCCAGGTAATTTATTGGGGAATTAATGGCAGCATCTTGGGAGACTGAAGTCACGCCATGTACTCAAACAGTAAACATGGCTTTGCATGTGGCTACCTAAAACATCTCACACTGCAAGTACAATTTTAGGCCCCATTCATTTACCAATAGTTTCAAATCTTCACCTGATTTAATTACTAACAAAAATCATTTCAGTAATTTGAGCCTGAAAACAATCAAAGTTAAACAATGTGGAACCACAATGAGCAGACTGGCCAAGCAAATTTGTGAGCCGACAACTGCAAACATTCAACAGCAATTGCAAAAAAAAAAAAATTATGTGACTGTTATTATCACCCAGTTACTTTAACTTGTCCACTCCAATGCATTGATTACAAACCTAAACAACTAAAATTTCAGGGGCCTAATGTACTCGCAATGTCGGTTTCAGAATATTTACAAAGCTGCCTGAAATCATGCAAAGACAATGGGTGGAAAAATGAAATGCACAAATTCTATTTTTAGTACTTCAGCTATTTACTTCCTCAAAAAGCTCTACAGAGAAAAGATTCTGAATTTTAATACAATACAAATTTAAAAAAAGTAAAATAAAACAATGTGCATAAAAGTTAAATGCCAAGTAGCAACACATTACATACATATGCAGCCTGAAAAGCTGACACAACCGCTTATATTGGGCATGCAAATTCAGCCTTGCTTACGACTTCGCACTAAAGTGATTTCTTATAAAACAGTGAGGAAAGGTTTAGTTCAATCACTGACCACTGCTAAGCAGTTACAATAAGAGATTAAAAACAACCTTGACCAACATGTGCTCAACATTCTAATTCACCTCAACTCTGCCTCACTCACAAGTACACGCTGGGATTCATAGTAATACTACTACAGAGGGGACAAGTCGAAGTAACCAATAATTAATAATAACCTTCACTTTAAACATTACACACTTATGTACATCAGTCAAGAGTAAAAGTAAGCAAAGCCATGACTATCCTAGTGATCTCTTGTCAAAGAACCTAACTTTTCTCTATTTCAACTTGATCCTAGTTAAACAAACCTATCTAAATCCATAGGCGCTGACTTTAAACTTCACTGACGGCTAATTAATCTATACTTATTACCAGTTATATTAACCCAGAATTCAAACCTCTAAAACACATCAGATTGCATGAATACTTGCATACAGTATATTCAGATGTCTGCATCAGTATCCGAAATAGAAACTGATACAATACTTCTCATATACACGATCAATGCCGTATAACATACCTTGTTTAAAAACTGACAATCTCAAATATATTATACTAGGAATTATACACAGTAGTTAAGTCTGAAGTTTGGGCCCCCCTCCCACCTCCCTGCCTCATATTTTAACATATTAAGTCGGCGCCCATGGCCATACCATAAGATGCCATCACAATTTTGAGGCCAGTCTGTCACGATGATTGCCACTCTTTAAAGTCAAATGGCTTTGGCCCACCTGGCACAGGTGGATGCCCGGAGTAACTGCCCCCTGTCTGACTGGTACCATCCCCAGCATAATTCCTTCCTCCACCATAGCTTGATGAATCCTGTAAATACGAATAAAGAATAGTTAAAACTTTGTTTCTGTACAGCACATAAACCTTGGAAAATGAAAAAGGAGATATAAATTTCAACAGTATTTTTATTATTTCAAAATACCCCCACCCTTTTAGCACATAGTATTTTCTGACCTGGGGGTGAAGAAATATCATTGTTAATGTTTTGATAATTTTGTACAAGCATGTAAATGATCATTATTGCAAGAAATTCTACAATCCTATAAGTTTCAAGTAGATGCATACTAGTAGTCAGCTACATTAACATTATACCCAGCAGGTATCCAAATTACTGAACTGTTCCAAGGTTTGGTGCTGGGGGAGGAGATTCAAGCAATGGTTCCTAGATGCCAGTGCTCTGCTTCTGTAACTTGTGTCTACACATAATAATCTTCCTTGGAGTACACTATAATAATACCTTGGTGCAAATATTGACAATTGACAATTTGGTGCAAATTCAAAATGTAAAACACCCACTATTCATACCAAAGACTGTGATATAATTAGCACAGCTATGCAGTATTTTGCTGAAGAGAAGTCAATTGTCAAGCTGAAATACCCAAATGAAAATGCAAATAAATAAATAAATAAATAAATAAATATGATGTTGCAGTTACTAGTAAATTTCAAAGCCACTACCTGCAAAATAAGGAGACGCTAACACAGCAAAATCTAGCAGAAAAAAATGACATGGCAAAGAAATGCAATATAGTTCTGGCTTTTATTTATGTGGAATACAGCAACAAATTCATATTTTTACACAGCAAGAAAATAAGTTCCAATATTAACACATGTTTTAGCAACCTTGAAAGCACACATTTATTCTCCTGGAGACTGAATTCTTGAGAAATGAAGATAAATGGTTCAAAATTTAGAAAAAATATAACATAAGGTTATTCATAATGGAAAAGAATGACACCATACTACAACGGCCAAACTATTTGAGAATAGAGAAAAATGAATAATGGCTGTGAAGTAGAAACCATTTCTACATTTGGAAGAGACATGGATCTTCACAACATTATGGCAACCCCTTCCTTTCTATTTGCAAGCACCAACAGTATGCAACACACTGGTACAGTTAGTACCAGTATGTAATTAAAAAACAATGCTGTTCAGTGCTGGCTAATTTTACAAGATGTTTCTGAAACATCTTCCATTTTTAGATCAAAGAAAAAAATGGCAACTACCATAACAAAACAAAATTTAAAAAAATGTTTCAAACTGGGTTGGGAAACAGTATTTGCATGAACTCCCAACGGAATATCAAATAACGTTACATAATGCGCTGTATCTTTCCATTAAAACTGATACACCTCAAAATTTGGCAGCAAGAAAGCTGACATTCAGGAACAGCTACAGAGGAATAATGCAGGTTGAGGAGGGAATGACAAACAATGAACAGATTAAACTTTTCCAAACTTATCCATCACTCAAGCATTTGAGCTACTAATACATGAACAAAATGTCATGAAACCATAACATTACATTCACACAACTACGATCTTCATGAAAGAAAATCTGGAATACTATGAAAACAACAGAAGTGCCCCCCCCCCAAATTCAATGAAAGCGTTTCTGAAATTGACAATCTTATGGTTCAGGCTACTGAAAATACAAACAAGGACATGAAAAATGCTGTTTCACATGTAAAGAAAATCAGAGCCAATTATAGGACAGGGAAAAAATCTGATGAAGAAACAGTACAAATATTCCTCAAATGGTGATTTTAAAAGTGACTCACACAGCAGTGCTAGTCAATCATCCTATTCCGCATAAGAAGTACTCGTAAATGGACAGGTGATGATCCTTCAGGTACAAAGTCAATTAAATTATTGTTACATACCAGTCTGCATTTGTAATTTAGAACTGTATTATAAAAGGAAAGTTAAGTACTGGTAACACATTTTTCCAAATGAATGTACCTGCCACAGATAAGAATCTTCCCCCTTCCTACAGTCTGCCATCACATCACGGGTGCTAGTACAGCTTCTTACCTGCTACATAGTTAGTTTGGGGGAAGAATCCAGTAAGTTAGCTAAGGCGGGTTTAGACGCTGCCTTTCCTTTAACAGTACTGCATGCGACAAGGCATGCAAGATTGCATGTCTCTGGAAATATGTGAGGCATGCATGTTTCTGTTTAGATGACAGAAAGTTATTTTGAGTCTAAAATCATGGCTTCGATGTTGTGTGCGCTGCTTATGTAATAATTGCAAGAAAGTAGAAAATAAGATGAAAGTTTTGGATGAATTTGTTTAAAAGTGGCGCAGCAAAATGGACATACTGCAAGAAGTACATTTAAACAACTGCCTGATCTTCAAGAATTTCTCAAGAATGTCAACAGGAGATTTTGAGTTAGTATTGCAGATGAATGGACAAAAATATGGGTCCATACCTAGCAGCACAAGATTAGCAGTCACGTTAAGGTTCTTAGCAACAGGGGACTCATAGCACAGTTTGACGTATACACTGAACATATTGGCTGCAAACATATCGCATATTATTACAGAGGTTTGCAATGCTCCAATACAGGTATCAGGAAAATATGTTAAGGTAATATATTAAAGGTTCATATTTATTCACCAGTAGCAATTTAAAACATTAATAGTAATAATAATACCAGAAATAAAGATAAAGCTGTCCCTGTGCTCAACTAATTATGCATTATGCCATGAAGCTGTATGGTGAAGTGGATGTACAGATCCATGTATTCTTGACCCCTGCACAAGTTGTAGGTGAGTGGTCAGCTTCATGCACCAGCCACTTTACCCCTAGGGGAAGAGCCCCTGGTACCCACTGGATAGGAGGTAGAGTGGACCCCAGAACTAGTCTATTGGCATAACATTACAGATCCTTGAATACACGTTGACCATCCATATTATGACTTTGTAGTCTAGCAAATATTACTCACGCATTCCTCAGTGACTACAAACCATATGAAGAAAGAAAAGTGATGATGTACAGTGCTTCACATTAATCGACTAGCAAACTGAAAAACAGCCTCAAGTTAGAATAACTGGAAGGTACTTTGTGTTACCTGATAGCCACTGTAACTACTGTAACCACCGCCATACTCGCTTCCAGATTTCTGCTGCCCTGCAGCTGAACCCCCAGGTGCTGTAGGTCCAGCAGGTGTCGATGCAGCTGGACCAGGTGCTGATCCACGAGAATACATATCACCTGTAAGAGGTAATATAAAAAATACTGTCTCATGAACATCATTCTCTAACTGAAAGTATGTTCCACAAGTAGTGACACAAATAAAATGTTCTGCTTTTAAAATACTGAGCTCCAAAGCCTTGTTCTTAAAATATTTGTGCACATACACTTTATTCCACAATCAGTGAAAATCTTTTATAATACATTACAACATTACCAGACTTCTTAATAATAACAAACAATCGCAGACTGCTTATTTCTGACAACAGATGACACTAAGCATGTCACGTACAACAAAACCTTGGTACTTTCACTCCCACTAGGTATGTTTTCCCATAATTTGGATAATTTTCCAAACATCTCAATGACTTTAGATCCTACAAAATATGTCACTTAATTTAAATTTCTCTCCACGATCCTGTGACTAGTCAACTTTTCGTTTCAACTACTGGCTACTCAGTTGATTTCATCTCCATCTTCCAAGCATCATTTTTGCTTTCAACATAGCTATCACTATTATTTTTTCTGTTACATGAGCCTGCTGTGTGCATTGCACTTGTTTTATTTAACTTGCACATCTGATATGGCATGATCTACACTACAGATGTTCTTTTTCAATTTATATGATGAACAGGGCATGAAGACGAAAATAAAAGAAAAATCCTTTCCTTAGAAGACAAATACTACATTGGCATTGACAAAAGCAGGGGACTTACATTTCCTTCACAAAACAACTTGAATTATCAGTATCAGGTGTGAATACAACAAAGACAATCATGCCATTGAAGAAAATGCAATTCACTGTGATCAAATGCAAAGAAAAAAGTTTAAATGAAAAGATCCTATGCAAAAAAACTTCCAGTGTCTGAGAATGATTTTATCTTACATTATGACACTTGTAACCAATCATGAAACTATGCCTGTAGCTGGAAACCACCTTCAGGCTCCTCCTTCATATGACAGACTTAAATATATTAATCATTAAGGTCACATGCAGTGAATAAAGGGAAAAGGTGATTAATCATGTTTCCCTCCTCCTCCTAATATGTAAACTTAAATGATTAACTCCAGAAAAGTGAACGCCTCACAATTCAAGTATCCCAGGATCCAGAGGTTATACTACTATGGTGAAAAAATTGCAACATGATTTGGTGAGCACCTTTATTATTTAACTATGCTGCTACTGATCTGTTCCAATAATTAACCAGCAAACAAGAACCTCAAGCAAATCAGATTTCTATGAGTTCACCATAAATAAAATATTGTGGCGTATTTACTCCATGCAAGAACTGTTGAGGCACAGAAACAGCCGCTGTTAAGCAACAGACGCAAGCAATAACAGAACAGGGTTATACAATGCGTTTGCAGGCAATGGCTCGGTAAACACGTTTCCGCACATCAGACCGTGCTATTCAACGCAGTGACATTAACAATACAGACTACTTTTTCCATGGGGTCTGTGCAGAGTGCTTATAAGAGAAATGAATTCAGAAGCAAGTTAGTTCAGAGAAGTTGTGAGTCAGCTGCCGATAGGACACAGCAGTGAAGAATTAGAAGCTGAGTTGGGCAGTGTGGACTTAACATGTGATTTGAAGACTTTGTGTGTGCTGAAGTGCAGTGATACCTGGAGTGTGACAGTTAGTCCCTGTGTTAAAATCTGTTGCCAGGAAACAGATAGGGAAAACTTTGTAGAGGAATAGCCATTGTTTAGATCTGTTACCTGGCACTGACCAGTTAAAGCAGATATAGAAGACTTCATTTATGTGTTATAATTACAGTAATCTTGAAAGTGTTATAATTATTTGTAGTTACAACTAGTGAATACCCAAGAAATCAATTCGCCAATCCAAATCCACATGTAAAGTCACTAATACACGTAACATGTTTCCGTTTAATGAAATCGAAAATTACTAATCTAATATTGTCTGACTCGTAATATATACTTCTGGTGAGTATTCGCTGAAGTCCTAAATGGTCATATAGGTAGAGGTTAGAACACACAACACAAAGTGTTCTATACAACGGGACCACGACATTCAAGGCCTCAAAACCATGTCACAATATACAACCTTCTTCCTTTATTGAGAAGAAATTTCAAGACATGAACCACTGGTTCTAGTTTTAACAAAAAGTTCTTATAACATTTCTTTTAAATATCTGACTGTGTAAATAAATTCGTTATAACTTATTCGGTATAACTTTTATATATTAATGACACCATAATAGTGGTTTCCTAAATGTTGACTGCATCCTTCTTAAGATGGTCAATCCAACCGAAACATGTTATGGGTAATGAAATATTGAAATACAACTTCTATTAATCAATCAATCACACTGGTTTGTACTGCTGCTAGTGTGACGGACCAGGATGAGCCAAGTCAAGTTTATTATGGATGAGCATGGACGAATATCAGAACTGTCTGAAAACCCTCGAGTAAAGGTCTCTAAAATAATGAATTAAAACACTGCCCAACGGTTAAGGTGTTGGTCTAAGGTTCAAACAGATATAACCACCTTGTAAGACTTTCTTTACACTGAACAGAACCCCTAAAAAAGAAAAGAAAATGTTGTTCTAACCAAAACAATTTATCATCATTTTATATATATCTGTCCCAATATGGATGAGGTGATGTCAGGGCATTGTCTCTTCTCTTAAACTTATTTGTATCTGTGCTCAAGTTCTAAAAAAGCTTCAGTAGGCAACATTTATATACAAGTGGAATGCCAGGCATGAAATAATTTAAATATGCATGACAAAAACACACTGGCCCTTATGCAGAGGGCATAAGCTTCAAAATATCAAAATTCAGTTATGAAGTAGTTTAGTCTGAAAACACATTAACAACATTCAAGTCATACATGATAAAACTAAGTGATCAACATACCACGGTTACAAGAGGAGTTTGAAAAGTAATGAGGCTGAAGTAGTACGCGGGTTCAAATCCCCAGCAGAGGTCGTCGAAATTTTAAGGGCAGAAAAATTCGGGGAACAAGTCCTCCGGGAGGGACTTTAAGACGTGGGTCCCGTGTCGTAGCTTTACAGCACGTAAAAGAACCTCATACCTCCAAAGGGGATCACTGAGCCAAAATTGCGGACGTTTCCTGCCCAACAGCAGTCACTAATAGCTCCGGTAGATGGGGGGAAGCATTATAGATACTTCTCAGCCAGTAGAGCTGGTCTCGCTGGCTGGGCAGGACTGATGGTAAGCACCAATACCGGTAGGATATAGAGACTGGTAGAAATCATAGAGGGAAGCACAATGGACCACTACAGGTCTAAGTGCATGGGGAAACCCACCCTCTCTAACTAACTAACTAACTAACTAACTAACTAACTAACTGAGGCTGAAACACTGTTCAACTCAGTCACTCTGACTGAGCTGGTGCATGCACAATGTTTGTTTCCTGAAGTGTGTTCAGCTACTAGTGCAAAGGTCATAATTTTCCACAACATGTGTGTCTGTATGAGCTCTTGTATGAAACCTGTTTTGCGGTGGCAGAACAAAATAATATTTCATATATTTTAATGCCGTGATGTGCGACACAATTTTGTGCGAATATTAGAAAAAGCGGTTAAGAAACGTTTGATATATTACAGAAAGTGTATAGAACAAAAGCAGTAAGACAAACATTTTAAAGATGGAAACAAACGGGTGGTTGCCAATGCCTGAAGTGGGTGACGAAGCACTGCTATCACATATGTATTCATAAAGATGAACAACTGCTGGAGGAAAATGGGAGATTGTCTGGCAAAGTAAATGTGTCATTGGAAAGGGTTCACCATACTGTTACAGCAAAATCAGGCACGATGAAATTGTGCACTGTGAGCTCAGTGTACTGCATATGACAAAGGGGCCAGTAGACACTGGTGACTACCTGCAGAACACTCTACCCTACAGTCCAGGCCTCAACCCCGTGTAATTTTTTGGGGGGGCATTTCCAATGCTCAAACATGAGCTAAAGCTAGACATTCAACAGTGACGGTGAAGTGAAAAAAGCCACTGACTACCCTACATAACACATCTTCAAATGGCCTAATGCGGGTGGTGCACTGCAAAAACGTATTAGTATGTGAAGAGCATTTCGCAAAAAACCAGTGTCCAACCCTCATGAATCCTCTGAGTGAATAATGTGAGTAGTCACATTGCTTTTCTTACTCCCCTCATACATTAAGATCTCCAGGATAATACAAGTGTCCATAAAAATGTTCAGTACTTCAAAGTGTTATATTTTTGTAGCCATAACATACAACTAAATAAATGACACAGCTAGAATTTTTGTTAGTAAGTTTTCAAATCTATGTCTTGTATGTAGTAGATACTAAGGCACATTTTGTTCCATCCAAGCACCTTTCCTTTTATTCTGAGGTTATACAATGGGGGCCAGTTACACTGGACATGCCTAAAAACATTCTTCTAGACGTGAAACGGAGGAAGGCCAAAATTTTTCAAGAAGACGATGTACTACAACCTTTCAGAAACTTCACTGGAATTGCTTTAAATGAAACTTGTACTATGTCATATGTCCCAGATTTAACACTTCTTCACTTTCATTTCTGGGGGTATGGTATCCCTGTAACAGGTCGTGGAGGCAAATAAGAGTTGTGAAATGTTGAGGCTCCCACATTTTCTAGACAATCAGCTCACATATGGTGGTGAGGTTGTCAGCCTTATGTGCCAGCCTCCCTTTATCCCCAGGAAGATTCCTGGTACTCATTTCTGTTAGGGCTGAGTCGACCCCAGGACCACAGTGCGGCTGGAAGGATTAGGTAAATTGAAACAATCCACCTCATCGGGATTCGAACCTGCGACCTTCCAGCTTGTAGCATAGTGCCTTAATCAACTATGCTACCATGTACCCTGACTTTGGGGGCATATAGAATGTGTAATTTATTGAACTGGGACATGTCCACAGTGTTGAAAAAAAAACACAGGATTATGGTCACTACCGAAAGTATAATTCTCAAATCTGTTTCTGCTGTCTTGATACCTAATGCATTGCAAGAGGTGCGCATGTTGAACTTTATTAACACAAATTCTAACTTTCACTTTTCTTTCATTCAGTCTTTGTTATATAAATATAACACTTTGAAAGGACAAATACATTCTGCAGACACCTACTACAAACAGTAATTATATACCATTAGCCATAAAGAATTCTTTCAGAGAAAAATTATCATTCTGATTGAAGGAAAGAAGAACTTTGAGAATCATAATTACAAGGGGTCAAAACAAGTATTGGCATCGACGATGAGAATTTATAAAACACGACTCAAAATCAAGAATTGTGGTAACTTTAAGTAAATTAAATCTGAAAACTTCTGTGATTAGACATTGCTGACAATACTCCTAACTGCTGCTGGCACTGTACACTGCAACCTAGCTTCATGGATTAGAGCTACAAGCATGCTGTTTTTTAACCCTGAAGTTGAACAAAACGGCCCCATTAACTCCACTCATAACACCACCTGCAGAATCCTACTGGTGATGTATAAACAGTCAGCCCAATGCAGTATTTTCTAGGTATCTGAGTGTAAGATGTCCAAGTATGAAGAACTCTTGCCTTATATTCAGGTAAATATGGTACATAGCCTACTCACCCTGAGGGCCAGGGGGGCCTTGAGAGGGTCCCGGTGGGCCACCAGGAGCTGGGGGGCCATTCTGAGGCATATTCCAATTCCAGTTCCCCCCATACCCTGACTGTGGACCTGCCTGTGGGGGCCCTGAAATCACACCAAAAGAAGGCGGACTGCATTGATAGTCTTCCTACTTAAACATGTTGTCTTTATTCCGATCATATGCAAACACTACTAGGTAACACCTGTTTAATAACTATGAAGAATTAAATATTGCACCAATGAAGAACTTGCAATATACTGTCAATGCACACTTCTGATCTAAATCTGCAGAGAACTTTAATGCATTCAATTACACCCATGATCACATATTCGTACCCAACTGACAAAACTTTTCCAGCGTCTTTAGCAGCAATGAACTTCATTTCAGGAACAGAGACAGTAATTTTGGGGTACCAGTACTTAGGAAAAATAGTTCACCTATTTACCCTGCTATGTAGCTCCGAACTGACTCTCTACTACTTGTAATCTTGCGTGAATCAGAGTACCTAGGTTCAAAATTAAGCTGCTACTAACCAGCAGGCACTAAAATACTTACTTGTCAGTCACAGTTAAAATGGCACATGTGGATGCATCCATTAAGGTTGTGAGGTAAAGCGCAAAACTTAATAATGCCATGCAACTTCTCTACTGATACATCAATGAAATCACTCTAAGATGTGATACACTGTCACCATTACTCAGAAAACCATAACAGGGGAAAAATAAATGGGCCAGAGTCAACAGAGAAGATATTCAGAGTTAATGATTACAAGCTAAAATTTACATGATTAACCATCATAGTCAGCTCTACTTTCTGATGGTGTTGCATGTTATTTCACTGCAGTAGTTATAATGGGCAGAAGTGGAAAGTGACCATAGTTAAGAGAGGATATTAGGCAAATGAAATTTGTTTTCTTGAAACTGACTGTAAATTATTCATAATGTGTATGTATTAACAGTCTTCAAGTGCATACAATCACATTACCACTTCTACACTATATGTTTCAGCAGTATGCTGCCATCTTCAGGTGTATTGATCCGTCAACCATTTCACTGCTTGCCTTTATGTCCATTTAAAAATAATATTAAATTTGTATATGTTCTTATATAATAATAAAGTTTATGTATTTAAAACTTGTTAACATCTATCTCATACATTATAAATTAAATTTGTGTGCCTTATTGATCATCCACATGGGAGTTGTTCTTCTTATGTTTCTAATGTTGTATGTATATTGTGTCTTATGATGTGTTCTACACTTGTGGCTGCTTGCATTGTATCACTGGATGTGTTGGATACAACACAAGCAGCCACAAGAGTATAACACATCATAAGACACAATATACATACAACATTAGAAACAAAAGAAGAACGACCCCCATGTGGATGATCAATAATACACACGAATTTAAAATATAATGTATGAGATAATATATTTTAACAAGTTTTAAATATATAAACTTTATTATTATATAAGGACATATACAAATGTAATATTATTTGTAAATGGACATATAAAAGCAAGCAGTGAATCGATACACCTGAAGACAGCAGCATACTGCCTAAACATGTAGTGTAGAATTGGTAAATGTGATTGTATGCATTTCAAGACTGTTAATACATACACATTATGAATATGAATCAGCGCAACAGTATGCTAAAATACAACACAGACTGTAAATTAACTTACAAACAAAAGTAATTTCATGGTGTCTAAATGCCTTTTTACAGTTTATTTGAATAAAATTCTGCAAAAATTTAAAATCATGTTATTTTAGATACTACTGAGTATTGAATAAATATCACTGCATGCAATAAATTAGCCCATTATAGAACAATTTGAACTTTTCACATCTCACCATATGAGCCATATCCCTGCTGTTGGGGAGGGCCACCATAGTTGGAACCCCACTGAGGTGGTGGCATCTGTTGTCCCTGAGGTCCTGGAGGAGCACCCCAGCCTTGGTACCCACCTGGACCAGATGGAGTGCCATATCCTGCTTCCAAAACAAAGAACATAAATAGGATATACTACTAAAAAACACACATATCAAAGAGTACCAAAGGAAATGCTCACTAGGTTGATGCACAAATGTTTCTTAAGAGAGGGGTGTAAGAGTGTGTTGTTCAGTAAAAAGAAGTATCCATCTTAAGACTGGTGATTTCACAAGCCTCTGTACTCTAGCCTTCAAATCATCATCACATACACACACAAAGACGTCTAACTCTCTCTGGCAAAAATCATTACACAAAATGGCACAGAAATTTCTCTCTTACAAGTATACATCTTGGAAAAGTAAACATATTTCTTCATCTTTTATACATACATGTCTGATACAAGCATGGCATTGGAGCTGTTATCAAAATGGAAATACAGACAAGGATAATCAGATAACATCACAATTAAACGCAACCCTAATTATGGTACAGATCATACATACTTCTGAATGAAGTTTGGCTGCACCCTAGGTTGTGCATTTTTGTGACTGCTTCAAAGTACTGGGTGATCCTTCTTATTTATCACATTAACTCCACCTGTTACTTGGTACTAAAAATACATGATCTCAATTCTTATCTTACAACTACATCCCTTGCAGCATCTCCCTGTAAATTATTTCGTTTAAAATAGGAATTATGCACACTGTCCTCTTAAAAAGTTTCAAGACATGCAGCCAGAAGATATTTCCAATCCTACCACAATCTCTGTATTGCAATTTCCTTCCAGCAAGGGACAGAGAATTGTAAAGGATTTTGAGATTAGAAGGAACGACAGAATTCATTAAACCCACCATTAAAATAAAACACTTAGCTATTTGCCCAACTACTACACTCAGTAATTATGAGGGGTAGACTGGAGACGCACAACTCACAAACATGACCAAAATCAATCCTGAATAAAAGCAAGATATATATGCAAATTGAACGTGTTCAATAAACACCAAGTTATGTGCACAATGGGAGGAATGATATATAGGCTGGTAAGTGCCCTAATCCAAAAGCAATTATTTTAAATCCTTATCTCAGTCTTCCAACATATCAGCTATACAAAGTTGTAACTTGTGAGCAACTGCAGTTATTGCCAGATAATTTGTAAGCTTACAGGATCCTTTAAAAATGTAATTTCTGTTAAGGTCATGTCTGTACAAAACAGCACCTAAATGCATACAAATATGTAAACCTATAGCCACACACTAAGACCCAAAAGGAAGAGCTTACTATTAACAGAATAAAGGAAAAAAGCAATGGCAGGAAATGCAACATGAGATAAATTCAAATCTGAAAGACTCCCACATGGCACACCACATGCAGATATGGAAGACCCACTTCAGTATGATTCTGAATAGAAAACAAAATCAACTCAAGAAATCTCACAGCAGTAAATATTTAATCTAACACTTAAACCATCTACAGAGCATAAAACAGCATATACAAAAGCATATAAAACAACTGGCAAAATCACATGGAACCCATAAGTCTTTATTTTTAATTCTCAACCTCTTGGTCATAGTATGGATCAACATATTCAACAAAAGTGAAACCACACGTACATGGACAGTACCAGGTAAGCAAAGAAAAACCATCAAGATTTTATACTCCCCAAAATACAGATGTTTTCCAGCCAACAGAAAGAGCTTAGCCCTTCACTTGGTTACTTACCAAGACTCATAATCATGAGCTCCAAACATCAGATAATACAAGCTGGGTTCATCAGAGAAAGTTAAATGGTTCACACAAAGGCAAACAACTGAATATACAGGGAAGACAAGAGAACGAATGTTTCCAGGTTTTGTAGATTACACCATGGCCACATGACTAACAGATGGACGCCCAAAGCACAAGGAACAAACAGAAGCTACCAGCACACACCACACACTAACCAGAATATACTTTACCTAAAATATCTTTGAGGATACCTCAATACCTTGGGTAGGAAATCTAATGGGAGGAAAAGTCCTGTGTTTTCAACAAGATCTCTGGTACCATGATTTTGGTTCCTACCATATGCTGAAAACAGAATCTAACTTCCTAATGACGACAAAACTATGCACAATCAAAGGTGTTTTAGACAAAAGAGTAATGTATGTGCTTAATCATCATACCATGAAAATATGTCTCTGTGCTTAATGAAGCTCATATTAAGGCCATGATTATTATTATGATGATAATAATAATAATTATTATTAACAAATATCAGACAAAAAGGTGTTCCACGGTAGAACTAAAACAATCAGTCCAATTCTGAGTTGATTCAACAAGAATGCTGGCAAAAGGCAAATAAGTCACATATATAAGCAAATACAGTCATCAGGAATTCCAAACCCCTTTCAAAAACCTCAAAAAATGGACTAGTGGTTACTTTGCTGACAACAGGAGAAAAATTATGGCCATGGTATTATCTAAGAAGGTAAGAAGCACAAGCTGCATTAACTTTAACAGGACAGTACATTCTTTCATATTTTTTGGTACCACCTTACAAAGAACTGTGAATACATGATAAAACCACCATAGAAAGAATAGGTGACATTATGGTTTCCATAACATAAGGAATGTCACTGAAAAGAGCCATGAAACCAAAAATTATACTGGTATGAATTACAGACTGGAATCAATGTGGGAAAATAATCTCATAACACAGAATATGAATTCAAACTACCTTAACAGAGCTCTGTTAATTAATATCCTTCCATCTATTCCTAGGTCGCCTGACCTAAATTGTGTGCACATCTCATGTCATGTAAGCAGTATGCCCTGCTTATCTCAGCCCATCAAATTTGAGAAAGAGCATGACGTTTATGAAGCTTCTAACTACACAATTTTCTCATATCCTGTCACACTTGCTCTCTGTTTGGTCCAGATGTTCTCAACATAGCCTCCTCAAACATTTTCAATCTGTGTGCTTTCCTTGAAGAGAACATGTTTTGCTGTCACACAAAACAGGAGACAAACTTATAGTTCTGCATATTTTAAACTTTACTGTCTTTGGTAGCAGATGGCAACATAAACCCATTATAAATGAGAAATGATGAAAAAATAGGGACATGATATGGAAAAACCTCCACACTACATATGCTTAATTAGGAATAGACAAAATTGAGGTAAGAGTATGGTAAAAAAAAATACAATCACCTCACCTGACTTTCGTGAAGAGGTATACTGAACAAGACACCAAAGAAAGCATCTGCAATTGTTGCTCTTTGTGCAAAACATACTGGACCCCAGTGTATAGAAACTCAGTACAATAAACAGTACAGAACTTTAAATTTAAAAACTTTTCCACAGTGTCTGTTCACTGCATACAGTCAACATTTTAACCATAGGCTCCACAGCTCATAATACTATAGGCAAGACTCAACAAGGCATCCTTGCTGCACCCACATCCTTATAGGTGCAACCTGTGAAAACACCACCATCAGAGCTAACTTTCTTAACACATTACAACTTGCCAGGCTTATACTTCTATCTACTGATAATATGATGAACTATAAAGGAGACCTCTTCCTGTGTATGTATTCCACCTGTAAACAAATTTAGAACTATTGCACTCGCAGTAGGAATATCCTACTCCACACTTCACCTGACCCTGGCTGTCTGAAGGGCAGTAAAAATACATCTAGATCAACCAAAACCATCTTCATCATGTAAGATAAGATTTAATATGCATGTGCTATTCAAATTTATATGTTAATTTCCTTTCACTTTCACAAATGAGCATTACAAAATAAATTCAACCCTAGGGGTTATGCTAGACTTTATTTACTCAGCAATGAAAATGTTAACATCATTTATTTACCACAGAACAGATGCAGAAATCTGTATACTGTGTCATTATTACTCTTCTTGTTATCATTTTCTTTTTTGAAACTGAATAACATTTTGTAAAACCACACAGCACATCGAAATATAAACTCCATGGAACAGTGTCCTTCTACAGAAGCCAATCTACAAATTATTTCATGTAACTCACAGGTTCATTACCATTTTCATAAAAGGTCACTACCTGAAACACTGTATAACATATAGCATGACGGCAAGTTGTTTGCTCCCTGCTCAAACCCCAACCTGTCAGATTTCAACAAATTATTTAACCCCTCAGTGTGGTCATGCAAATATCACAGTTGTGAGTGATCTGTGGTAATATTTTTTAATGCCCATTTAAAGTCTGCTCCAAAATAATTTATTTTTCATAACTTTTGAACTACATGAGATACAATAATGAAATTTTCATTTAAATCCTCAAAAAAGACAAATTTATAAGGTTACCTTATGAGAGTCCTATACAGAAGCAATGAAAGTAACTGGATTACAAGCTGCAGTGTGTGTAAAAAAAATCTTGAAACACCCACTTAAACACAACCCCACTTCACATTCCCGTGTTTTGTGCATATCATTTTCTTTGCAGTTTTGCCCTTCTTCCAGTGGCAAGAATTCACTCCATGAAATATCATTCTGTGAGACTGTTTGGGACCAATTAGGCGCACAGCTTTGTACAGGATGAGGAAAACTAGAACTGCTGCATAAATAATCTCTAGTCTTTGCAAAGGTAGAATCTCAGAAAAAGAAGTAGCAGCAGAACCTTCTGGTACTATGATCTGAGAGTAAGGTTTGTAAAATGCCCATCAATATAAACAGAGCCAAAATCATGTACATTTCACTGACTGTAACACACACCTACCCGCTAATCAAAGAGCAAAATATGAAAGGACATCAAAATTTCCTCTTGAGAATATATCTTGGTGTCCTCTACAATGAGTTGCACAGAACTATATCAAAAGTGTTTCCAAATGCACTCACATTAACCAATCCTGCAGTGTCAAACTAGGGACCATACACAAGACATTTCTCCTGAAGGGGGAGATAAGCCTATATTTTGCCACACAAACTTGCTTGGCACCCTTCCCAATCCTACGTTTATGCCTTCTTGTTCATCATTACTGCTATTACGCTCACTATAACATCAGTTAGTGGAGTAACAGATTGTATAATCATTGTCAAAAACACTACCACTGTCCATACTGAATTTTGTGATATTTTCATCACCTAAAACTTCATTGAAAATTTGTACTTGTTCAAGCTCCTAGAGCTTGAAGAAATCTCGATCTCAGTTTGAACATTCATTTCTCTCTCTCAAACTTCAAGAATTTTTAGATAACAGCTTTTGTGAAGACTCTACCTGCTCCATCAGACCTGTTATAGTTGGCAACAACAGCACAAACCTACTTGTCTACACAATGTCGCTCATTCTTCTCCTCCCTTTTATTTCTGTTCACTATCATGTCATATCTATTGTAAACATTTCATATCATTAGCCCACTGTTGGCAGGATATCACTGTTATCACAAACCCCAATGATTCCCTGACAAGAGGAAGTAAAGGGAAAATAAAATGGCCTTCACATGATCCCATACAGGTAGCAGCAAATTAACAATTTTCCTGTCATCCAGTCACGAAAAACATCCTTTGTCTTTAGCATTTCTTCTAGAACGTGCTATTTTGGAGAAACAGGATGGAACAAACAGGTTGTTTTTTTATACCAGTTAACCCAAAATAGTTACTTTTTAACTCAAAGCTGCATTCCAGGCCAGTACATGCAGGTCACAAAGATGTGTTAATGGCTTTGTCTATTATAAGTTCAAGTGACACAGATGAGAGAATTGTTAGAGCTATGGTTGAACTCCAAGACTTTGTATCAAAAATGTATAAGAACACTCTAAAACAAAGGCCAATTCTGTCATATTCTGACAAGAAACTATGATCAAAGCGTGAATTATTGTGAACGGGCTTCGATTTTCATGCACACTGTGTTATATTTTGTGTACACAACACATGTTTAAATACATAATTAATTATAATATGGAGATCAATTACATAAAAAATCACATCTTGCAAAATAATATCAGGACTTAATATACCCACCTAGCTTGCAAGTCCTCATTAAAAAAACAGTAATTCAAACTCATGTTCTTCAGTTTGGAGAACGTTAGATTAACAAGGTTTTACAGCATGTCTATCCATCTGCTATTTTATAAATGTAAAGATTAAAATATACAACTAGCATAATCTTACCAGTTTTTGTACAGGTCTGAAATTTGGTCAACTAAGGCAAAGAATATAAGCATGCTGAATTGGCATGAGAATAGGGTACTGTTAAAAACATATACGGACTCAAGAGGAAGGCAGTAACAGGGAGATAGAAAAAAATTGCACAACAAACTTCAAAATTTGTACTAATTGCCATATATTATTAGGATGTTCAAATCAATTATGAGATGGATGGGGCACATGGCAAGCACAACAGGAAATGAACAGCATTTTTGTATGAAAACCTGAAGGAAAGAGACCACTTAGGGCACCTAAGCAAAGAGAGAAGAATACTAAAATCGATCTTAAACTTGAAGGGTATGAAGGTACAGATTGCATTCATCTGGCACAACTTGCGAACAGAGTACAAGAAATCTGCGTTTCATAAAAGGTGGAGAATATCCTGTCAAGCAAAGCAGCTACTAGCTTCCTTTCCTGCAGACTTCAATACAGTTAACTGGGTACAGGATATGAAAATAAGCATACCAGGAAGTGCAAATTCAATTCATACACATCTTTGTTCATAAAACTTAGTTTTGGAACTGGATGTTGCTTGGTTTCATTTCATGCAATGAGAGACCTGAGGTAAAGTGCCATCAACAAAATATACTAACACTGAATTCTGATAAATTAGAATGGCCACAACATTGTTTAAATCTCTTTGTTCCTTCACCCTTACTAACACTGAATTATGATAAATTAAAATGGCCATAACACAGTCTTTGTTCTTTCACAATTATTACTTTCAAAATGAGAAAGTTCAATATCTATTACCATATTTCCTCGATTACCCCAAACTCTGACTAAGCTGCAAACCCCATCTTTTAAAAGAATGAAAACAGATGTATATAAATTTACTGAAGTGTCAAGTATGACCACACTCAAAACACAGCATTTTCAAATTTCAAAGCATTGTTCAGTTAATTCAACCACAGCTTCAAACTTTTCAGGGCGTGACATCCTACCACTGGAAGTAAGTTTCTAATACACAAATTGTTTCTTGCAAAAATTTCACCATGTATTTTTGGGTGCCCTTCGAAACCTCAGATTCCAAGTTCTTTCACCACTGTTAAGGGCTTTAACTAGCCCATTTATGTATTTACTACAGGCATGAACTGTTATTTCTCAAACATATAATTGCAAGGCATTTCTTTTATTTCAGAATATTTTATTTTCTGGCCAAGACAAGCTCCCTGACTACCATTTTTCTGTGGCATCGACCTTTCTTCTTTCTTCAATCTCTCAAACAACTTTCAATAATATCATATTTTCTAACAGCAACGTGATATCCGATTTATTCTGCCTCTTCAAACTGTTTTTAATTTTTCATTTACCAAGGGAGATCACAAACATATGCTATAATACTCATGTTAAGTAGACCACATGCACAGCAAACCACAGATTTATATTCACTTATACACTGGTGATGCACAATGCGTGCACTAGATAAAAGGAATTTATGAAGATAAGAAGACACTATGAACAAGAGGCACTGCCAGTCTCATCACAAATAAGCCACAAGTCCCAGTTTTCAGTCACATATCGAATTTACAAAACTGCTTCAGGTAGTTAAGAAAATATGGTATGGTTCTCCTTATTAATACCAAAGAAATGTCAATGTCTGACATGACTGCAGGAGATGCAAAATGTAATTGTGCAACCATGCTGAATCAAAAGGTCTGGACTATTTTACTGCTCTACCTGCTCACCACTTCTTCCAAATATGGTGACATAAAAACATACCCTAAAAAAGTAAGTGAACTTCAGATTTCTAACGCCTTTGCAACCTGTAGCTGTGTGGCATTCTAATAAATCATTTCACTTGAAAAATGTTCTATCAACTAAAGAAATACAAAAGCAAATGAACGAACACACTGAATTATTTCTTGTTTAAAAACATCTACACACCAATCTATTGTGAGAATATCTATTCATTCACCTGTACATTATTCTAATGCCTACCATGTTTTAAATCACATAAAAGCCACTACTTCCTGTCTTTTCTATGCCATAAAAAATGCAACCGACATCTAAGGAAACAGGCTAAATATGAGCCTAACATACCATTAACTGGTGGCTGATTGGAGGGGGAAGGACCCCAATGCCCTGAAATCACATAACGCAGCCTTATTCATAATCTAATGAGCGACTGCTATCCTATGCACCAACTGATTGTGTAAACTGTTCGCTTTATTTACACACTGCTACCATGATTACAGTAAAATACATATAACTTCAATTAAATATGAACTCCTAAATTAAAGGTACAGGAAAGGAATGTACAGACCTGGGTAACCTGTTGTTTGGGGTGGAGTACCCCAGCCTTGGTAACCTTGCATCATGTTGCCAGGAGGCCCCATTGGTCCCATGGGACCACCCATTGGTCCACCCATTTGTCCATTAGGACCGCCCATGCCCATACCCTGTAACAATTATGGAAATTACACTCTTGCTCTAATACAAAACAAAAATAATTTAAATAAATTCAAGGATAATTACATTTCGATAACACCTGTAAAACCCTAATTTAAGGAACCTGCATTTTACATACATTTTTACGGCACCAGGAAAGTTCCATATGCAGAGTGCAAGTTTCTTGATTTAAGGGCCTGCCCACATTCTACATATGAAACTTTGATTCCTCTGCATATTTTGCATCTGGTTTGACCACTGATGGCAATTTTTTGGGTGGTTCCAACATACACATGGCATGCAAAATGTGACTTTGATGTAATGAATGGCCATGGCACTACACAGAAAGAAGTTAACAAGTCGGGCTGAAAATTATTTTGGAGGTGGAAAAGTATCCAACTGTACCATGAACTGAAAGTGTGAAGTGCTCTGTGCTATGATGTCATTAGATAACATAATTCTACAGAAAGCTTCAATTTTTGAAGGGGAAAGTTAGTGTTGGCGCATATTCAGAGAAATGGAAAAAAAAAACTTACTTTATTAAATGAACAGTGTTCAGTGGCTTAGTATTAATTTAACTAAGTTTAACAGTCATGTAAGGCACTTTTCCAAAACCCCCAGTTAAGGTACAAAAAGCTTATCCTCAAGACAAACCTTAAATTGGGGGTTTCACCATACTATAAACATACAGGCAGTCTTCAGGATCTCACAGCATAAATGCATTACTCTAGTAAAGTAAGGTTGTCCCTGTGCTTAACTAATCAAGCACTACACCATGAAGATATATGGGGGAGTGGATGTATAGATCCACATTTTGTTGACCTCAGCACTAGTTGGAGGTGAGTGGTTGGAACCAGACATTTCCTAGATGCATTTCTTCAAGAACTGGTTCAAAAAAGTTTTTAATCATGTCCACATACCACTGTGAATTGACAGTAACTGCATGACTGTCTTCTTAAAAAAAAATAAGGGCCAATAATGCCAACTCTCGACAACGCACACCATACTGTCACCTTAGCACTGTGAAGTGGGCCTCTCATGGAGCTCAATGAGATTGTTACCACTCCAATAGTGTATATTCTGCTTGTTGATATATCCGGATAGGTGAAAATGTGCCTCATGACTAAAGAAAACAAGTGTGTCAGGGGGTAAAGTTTCCAATAATGTTTTGCACGCCGTTATTTGGTTCTGGAAATCATGTGGTGACAATTCTTGAACAACAATCATCTTACAGGGATCGAAATTAAGATGTTCGTGAACAATTCGGCACATTGAACGATTGGATATGTCTAGGGCAACTGCATGTTTGTGAGCGGAGCATCTTGGAGATCTCAAAATCAACTGTCGAACTGCCTCCACATTTTCTGGTGTCATAACGGTCCGTTGTCGTCCCAATGATTTTTTCACCACACTCCCGGTTTTCCTAAAGTTCTCTACCCACAAAACAATAGATTTCCAGTCTGGAACTGGACCTCTGGGCTTAATTCCAAAGTGAGTACGGAACGCACGCTGCACCGCCATGTAGGAATGGTTGTTCAAAAAAATAGGCTTCGACAGCAAACACACGCTGCTCACTTGTCCACCTCATGTTTCCTACTGAGGGGTATTAGACAGAAACTTCCGCGACTGCTGCGTTCGCCAAGCCTATCCCCACTTTTCTGCGACCTCCCCACCCTTCACAATGCATCTTCACAAAAAGGAAGTTTCTGCACCACACCCTGTATTTATAATAGACGATAACAGAGTTCGAGATAAAAAATAAAGTAACTACTGAAAAGGGGTACATGAAGCCTCATTCTTAGAAAAGGGGGCATGTCAACTGAAAAAAGGCTCAGAAATGTTCTGAAACACATGCCACAGGCAAACACATATGACAAACTAAATACCTACACACAATATTTCAAGACAAGAATCTGTTTTAGAAACATCTGAATGCATTAAAATGGACTGCTCCTATATTCATCACATTATGCATCATCATCCATAAGGAAGAGGAATTTAGTAAATCCAAACTGTTCTTCCATTAATGGGGAACAAGCAACACACTAATATATATATATATATATAATGTGAGGAGACATACCTTCTAAATCTTGAATCAGAAAAAACAAAGGGAACAAAAACATCTATTTACACCTGCCTATTTAATAAAAATAAAGCTGCAACAAGATCACTAAAAGCATGTTCACAAGAATTGTAACAACTAACTTTATGTCCAAGAGAAAAGATACCAGTAGTAAAATGCTTCCTTATTCACATTTTCCATACAAAACAAATGTTTACCTCTTGCTACTAATAGCAAGGTGACATACAGGTTCACAGGAAAAACAAACTTCAACACAAGAACAAAAAATGTTTCAAATGAATGTCCGATATTAACTGTGAGTTATAACAGGCTAATCACACATTGAAATTTTATGAACTCAAGCTTTGAGCCTAGATGGGTTAACTGTGTTGGCAGAAAATGTTAACTGGAAGTACCCTGTGGGACTAAACTGGACTTCATGCTGCTAACACATACATCATGACTATTCTAATACTCACCCCACCCATGCCCATTGGAGGTCCACCTTGTGGGGGTCCCCACTGGCCAGGAGGTCCATCCCCCATCTTGCCTGAATCACGTGGTTCAGCCTTCTTAATTTCAACCTGTGTGACAACCACACAGCAATTAGTTTAATGCCACTAAACCACAGGAAAACGGGTTGCACCACAAGACAGCAATGTTTCCAGTGAAAATGATTCCTAGCTAACAAATCTCAAAAGATTCTAGCCGTATTATTCTGGAACAATTTTAAAATGGGACGTAAAAAATGCACTACTTATGATAAGGTTTGTGGTGAAGGTGCATTATTAAACTGATACATATTCTTAACACTTACCATTGTCTCTTTCGGTTAAGAGAACACAACAATTTGGAAGCTGGCTCTGCTTACACCAGGAAAAAGAAACAAAAAACATATTCTGATGGATCCATTACATATATAAAACACTAACTCCAACTAATGGACCCAACAGAGTAGATTTCATACTTCCCTTGCTAATCGAAGCACAGCCAGATTCCAAAACTTCTCTTTAACCGTAACAGGAAAGAAAATGTAAAAATATGTTTCTGTTTAATGCACTGTTATGTTTTCCATGTGGATTCTAGATTTTTAAATCTTATGCACTGATGTGGTGCTACTGTCTGAAATTATGTGAAACCTTTTAACGTTCACTCCATATTCCTCAACTTAAAACTATCAGCCTCTGCACCCACTTCTGAATCAGCTTCCAGAACACAATTACCATAAAACTTAACCTAAAAATACAAAACTACCTACAGTTAATATTATTTGCCAAAAAATTTGCATAGGAAAACCTACACCAGACAAATCTTTATAAATTAATAAATTTAAAACCAATCAAAACTGTTTGGGAACCCAACTTACATACAACAAGATTTCAGTCAGAAATATCGTACCTTACCATCACACTGTGTGTGTGTTAATTTATTACTTGATTCCGTCAACACAACAACCATATCTGACGTTTAAATATTTTAGTAATTTAACAATACAACTAAGATGACTATGAGGGCACTGCACTAATAAGTAAACAACTGACACACAAAATACACCCATATGTAAACACTGGTCAGCGTAGGGAAAAGAGCAGTAAGTTAAAAGGTGCAAAGGTCACCTGATGATGGCCAGAAGGCTGAAACGTGTTTTAATTGTGTAACATATACTATATCTACACATACATTATGTTGATGGAACCAAATAATAAACAATATTTTAAGGTTTAGGCATTGAGAAGTCTGAGATGCACTGGATGTCCAAGAAACTTTCCTACAACATAGGACTAGACTATAAGACACAGAGTAATTTTAATTTAATTTCATATAAATATTATTCAAGTTTCATGGCCTTCCTGTACATCCAGAAGCACAATGGCATAGCAATAACCGCTATGCTACACAATGGACCCCCAAATCCAAAAGATTCAAGAACCTTTTGCCACACATGGGCATCAAATACAATCAGTTTCTAGTAATTTTTATTTCAATCAGAAATGCCCACTTATAATCTAACATGCTGGCCAATATGTAAGTAACACCTCAATTTCCTGAGTATAAAATTCATAGCTTACATTACATTTAACATATTAAATATGCAGAGACAGTAAAGAATTATGGAGACCAAGAAAACGAGACAACTGCTTATGTTTAAACAGTGAGCCTTGAAAACATAGTTTAATTCAAAGCATATTCAAATGCTGCCTACCCAAGTGGAAACTTCAGTTCCTAACCTGCAATCAAATACATTTTCATTGCCTAGGTAGGCTGTATTACTTTACCTCTTCCAACCCTCTGACCAGGAAAAAGGGAAAATGTTACTCCTTCAACTGTCAACCTAAACTTTCCAATTGGCCACAGCAATTGTAACAATCTTCCTTGATACCAATGGATAGAAAGATTACTGCAGGTCAATGGTATTCTTTTTTTTACACATATACAAATTCCTGAAGGAGAAAATATTGAGAATGCTCAATTACTAATAAATAAGCTATGTGTTAGTACTGATACCAATATAAAAAACACTGGTTAACTCTGACTAAAAATAAAATGGACAGGATTCATAGCACTCTGTTAATGATCATAAAACAACCTACAGCCCTTCCAGGTCCTCAGTGTAGAGTCTGTCACGACATTCAAGGAATACTGTTCCATCAATTCTGAAGGATAAATTTTAAAAATTTAAATAAATCTGAAAATCTGCCATATTCCAACACATGAAGGGCATGTGAGGGGGTCTAAACCCACTTCATTTAAATTATAGTATGATATCAATTATTGGATGACAGATCTGCTTTCTGGATTAACCAGATACTGGTTTAGTTAGAAGGTAAAGTTGTCCCTGTGCTTAACTAATTAAGCACTAAGCCATGAAGGTGTATGGGGGAGTGGATGTATAGATCCACATTTTCTTGATCTCAGCACTAGATGGAAGTGAGTGGTCAGCTTCACGCCCTTGCCGCTTTACCCCCCCCCAAAGGAAAGAGCCCCTGGTACCCATTGGATAGGAGGTTGGGTGGACCACAGAGCCAGTCTGGGCGACACGGCGAAAATTCTTGACCCTACCAGGACTCAAACTCCAACCCCTGGGCTGTCCAACCCATGACCAGTCACTATACCTACTGCACTATCCAACTGGTTTAGTTAACTGTTCATTATTGTGTCACCTTACAGGAATGATTGTAGTCAAAGTTTACATAGTCAGAATTATGGGTTTTTAAGGAATAAGTGATGCATACCTCTACTCCCCACATACCTTCATGGTGTGGAGCATAATTAAGCGAACAGAAAACTCATCCTTTATCTGCACACCTTTTGTCCTGCTTACAAGCATACTCTTTCACAGCACCCATTTTTTTTAAAAATTCCAGCCACCCTGTCCCTCTCCAAAGGCAATGAAGTTCCATTCAGCTTAGCAAATGGTTACTTAAAGCAGCTGCCAAGGAGTCTTAAAAAATGTAAGCATGCTGCATCAACAATACAGAAGAAACGACATCTAAGCATAGAATTTGAAGGTAGCTACGTAAAATATGTCTGTTACAGAGTGGGTAAAAAACCTGATTTTACCTTTAGAAACAATAAATGCAAAAATAATTAACCATGCAATCTCTTCAAATTCAACAAGTGCTTTACCAAAAGAACCCAAAATGTAAGCATGTAGTGTCAACAATACAACAGATACCAGGATCTAATTAAAGAACTTGAAGACAGCATAAAACGTTAACTACAGCGTAACAAAAACACCTGTTTTAACTTTAGAAACAATGCAAAAATAATTCACCATGAAAACAATTCAGATGCAACAAGTCTTTTATCAAAAGAAGAAACCATGGAGCTTTCTATGTATGAATACTAGGCATAGCAATGTTGGAACGGTTGAGCTGGGAAAGAGTAGAATGAACTGGCACAGTATGTACCAAACATACACAATTTCTCTTCGAACCACTGATATTCGAAAATGAATTTTAATTCCAACTCAATCCACGGAAAGATATTATATGAGCGATGAAACACAACTGTTAGGGAAGTGTTTTCCAAGAAAGGCTGTATGCTTCCAAACAGAACTAAGCGCACTTAACCACAAATCAAGTAAGAAAAGAATTACTGTGCTATGTTTTGTCAACATTACCTCAGAAAGTTAAGCTTTGTTTAATGGCAACGTTCAGAAAACACATTACTTCACAAAAAAAAAAAAAAAACAGAAAATTCCAAGTCTCTTGCTCCAATAAAAAGGAAGCCTCAATGGATCATTCCATTTTTTAAAACTGTTGACCATATTTGACACAGGTGAACAAGCATTTAAAATAAAGACATTTGCCACAAAAGGCCATGCCAGTGTTGGACACTACACTGTCATATCCAAAAGAAAATGTTAAAAAATCAGACAACGGTGAAGTATGTGTGACTTATGACTGATTGATTTAAATCAGCCTAGAGATCAAGGATATCAGTACAACAGAAAAGCTGAACAGAGAAAACCTTCACCCAAAACAGTGATGAGAAAAAAAATCAAGGCATTTTTAATAAGGTGTTACACTATTTATTCAGTTAAAGACACAGAATTTAGTAAAGCCAATTATTACACATGAATTGGAAAATATTTGTTTTGCACAGCGAAGAGCAAGTCTCAGTATTCAAGAGGATAAGACATTTCAGCAAAAAACTTAGCCACCACAATGCAACAATCCACAGCCAATGGAAAATGTCAACAGTGATATCATTTCAGAATGGTTTGTAGTCAATTGTGGCAAGCTAGGCCATAAATGGTTGAGCAACAGTGAATTTTTGAGGCATACACAAGGGCAGTGAAGGGAAAGAGATGAAAACTTTCCTCCAATACCTGAGAAATGAAATTACTTGCCTAAAAACAAATCTTATTCCCACCAAAAGATAAGGCTGTTAGTATGGTCATAAAACTACTACTAACATAATTAAAGCAATACATGAATGCAAGGAATCTTCCAACTCAAGAATTTACAAACAACAGATCTCATGAAGAAAGCAGTCTTCTGGGATTTGGCACCATGTATATGTGGTGTTAACCGACGTTTCGGAGGAACGTATCGCCTCCATCTTCAGGGTAGAAGAAAAAATATAAGAAATCTGCAAGCGAAGAGACCGTGAGAACCGGTAACTGCCTCATGGAGGCGATACGTTCCTCCGAAACGTCGGTTAACACCACATATACACAGTGCCAAATCCCAGAAGACTGCTTTCTTCATAGTCACCGCCGTGAAAGCCTCAAATCTTACAACAGATCTCATATTAATGTATATTTTGAATTGTCAAGATATTAAAAAAAAAATTTTAACAGAAGATATTAATCACATTTCACATGTTATTACACCAAATGTGTCCTCACTGCTACAGCATGTAGGGGCTGCTATTTTATAATACAACATGCCAAGTAGGCCTGATACTGGGAAAGATCATTAAATAACAAAAACAGCTGAAGCTAGCCAGGAAGTAGTTCAGCTCACCCCAACTTATAACAAAAACTTCTTAGCAATCCACATTTCTTATACTGCTCTCATGCATATTAGATTTATGAGCTATGATTTACTTAAACCAATACCATAAGAGACATTTCAAGAAACTGCATTGCAGCCACATGTGCTAAGCCAACCAACAAGGAGATGGGGGACCATTAATGTAAGCTGACAGGAGTCAGTAATGTGTCTACTCACACGCATCATAAACAATACAACTCATTGCAAACATGACTAACAAAGTTCAAATTTTACGCACACTAACACAGGCCAGTCCAATGTGTACCTCCCAGGCAACATGACATAAGAAGTACCCATACAGGGTATTCTAGGCGGAAGAAGCTAACTTCAGGTTATTAATCATGTGATTCTGAGTAGAGAATATTGCACCAGCATGTGTCTCATTCATGACGGGTTTATAATTATGGGTATTTGAAGTTAACAGTAACAATAAATGTTCAATCAGTAACTTGTAATAAACTGTACATTCAGGCTGCGCCACAGCTCAAGCGGTTAGTCGCTGGCTTCCCACTGCGGCAGCCCGGGTTCGATCCCGGATCTGGTCACGTAGGATTTCTGGTGGACAAAGTGGCGATGGGGCGGGTTTTCTCTGAGTACTTCGGTTTCCCCTGCCAATCTTCATTCCACCAGAATCTACATCATCATAATCACCCGGGGCAGGCTACAACTGGCCAATCAATGGCTGCCGTCCCGAGTGGACCCAGTTAGACTCCACCCCCCACTAAGCGAATTAAAAAAAAACTGTACATTCCATTGACAACAGAAGGCTTTCATTCATATCTCAGTTTCATCTAAAAATAAATGTTCAAACTGTTCACCTTCACTTCCAACATATTCTTCACCTTAATGTATTATCAGTGGACCTTTCAAGGGAATCAGAACAATATTTACAGTGCTCTTCAAGGAAGGACAGTGCTTGGCACAAAACTCAAGTCTCCATGCCTAACACAATTAAATCATCCACTAATACTATTACCTGCTCTTCCCACCACTGATGTGATCATCCCAGTATGAGCACACCCCTTAATACCAAAACTCACTCACTGCCATGCAGAGACAGAAGCTTTACTTTATACATCTGCAAATCTGTAACTCCATATTAATGTAAGTTACAGTAACCCAGATTACTAGTTTAAAAGTTTATTACTGCAGAACTATGTGACAACAGCTGTACAATAAACCTTTCTGCCAATTACTAGTCTTATTTAACTCTGAATTTCCATATCATGAATGAGATCCATGTTGATATATAATATTTTTCATTCAAAATCACTTGATTACAATCTCCAGGGTTTGACCACTTCTTCCTGGGACCATCTGTATTTACATATGGAAATGACCCGTCATCATGCATGGGAGGGATACAGTGCAACAAATCTGAACTGAAAGCTAGTAAATGTACTATGAACATCTAAAATGGTTGGACAAGCCTCAAACTAAGACAACTGAAATATTTCTAAAACTCAAGTCTTTTAATGTATTTCACAGATCAACCACCTATCAGGTTTATTTGCTAATCATCTTGCCATGAGTAGTAATGTCAAAACTGAGTCCTTACATAGTCCCATCCTGGGTAACCTGCCTCACTATACTCTGTATTTAAGAAGGACGGCACCAAAAAGTTATACCTGTTTGCCATTCAGGTTGATGAAATGCTCCGCTACACATCGATCCACTGCTTCATCGTCCTCGAAGGACAAAAATCCAAATCCTATTGTGTCACAGCAAGCAATCAAAGAAACTTCTTAAAACTTTAGTTTCATAATGCTGGGTTAAAACACTGCTGCCTGCCAGTTTGTTACTGCTGTAGTCATATATCAGCTAATTTTCGGTTGCCAAATACATGTGGCCGCCAATCAACTCAATTATCCTATGAACTAATTGCACTTCCAAATTTAGGTGACAGGTCAAAATTATGCTATTGCACTAAATACAGTAGAAAGAAGAGGGCCTAAAACAGGAAGAATTCTTCAAACTAGCCTATGTTTTATACATCTTAAAATTACCTATTCTAAAATAACCTAACTGTAACATGATTTAACTTAATGAACCAATTATCACTGTGCTAGTTTCAGTACATCTTATCAGTAATATAATATAGGCTAGTACTTAATTTTATTACAACTAGCATAGCTATTATTAGATGTTACTCTTAGAATGCAGTTCAATTAAAGGGAGCAAGGGAAGGATTTGTGTGAATTTTGGACAGGTTAATGTCTAGCTATCACTTTTGTTTTAACATCCAAGGAATTTTAGTGCACTAATTTGGCAGCAGTGAACACCCCAAAGCATGAAACATTATATTACATTAAATACTGTGAGACGTACCTAATGAAAGACAAAACAAACACGTAAAACAGAGAATTACACCCATATACACTTGGATATTTTGAAATAAATGCAACAGATCAGATCTTTGCCTGAGCACCTATCAAGTGGTCTTCCAGAACTGAACCACATGCCATATGATAACAGCATGGGGGCACTGTACCACACTAGCTGATAGTACTCAGACAAGGAATATTCCAAGCATATCCTTTCACAGAATACTTAATAAAATATGTTTATAAGACCTTACTCTACCTAAAATGTCATACAATATTAACCTCTTACATAAAGTGAGCTACACAATATGCTATTTGAAAAATTTAACCATAATCTCTTTAAATGTAATCCAAATTTATGTATAACCAATTCAATATTGTATGACAAATCACTAATTTACACTTTAAAACACTTCAAAACCAAAATCAATTCCCTTAATTGCTACAAATTGTACTGTTTCGATCACCCTACAGGATTTATTAGTTATACGTACTCCGCTTTCAGAAACATTTCACTACATAATAAAACAAACAAGTCTGTTGTAACTTGCACATGCAAGATTACACTGCAATGTCCTTACCAACATATTTTAATTAAGATTTGGTCTTCTTAGATTTGATAACATGTAATCTGGCATATAATTACCAAAGTTCTGGAAGATCTGCTGCCTTCATCTTCAAGGTACAGGTCAATTATTTCTACCCTGATGACAGAGGTAACAGATTCCTATAATGGTATCTACCAGAGTGCATGGTGTCATCCTAGACAACTGTAATCTTAACATTCACTATCATCAGGACCTCACATCTTTTAATTAATGCATAATTTTCAATGGACTGGTGTTAATTATGATGAAACACACAAGTAACATGAAGTTACACCAGACAAATTAATTTCACATATCAACTTGGATTGTTTCAGAAATGATAAAGAGAACTATTTCTGATGTTAATTTCTACATACTCAATGCCAAAATACACAACTGCAGTTGTTAGTACAAAGTGTTTTAAAAAGTATTTCAATGTCTTTCTTCAACTGATTTCAAACAGCATGAGAGAGAGAGTTGCAGTTCAACTTGCCAAAGATACCACTAACACAAGCGTGTCTGTCAACACAGTTGTAATTTTCTTCATGATGGTTCAAGATACAGCAGCTGCTCAATTTTAAAATTGTTTTAATTTTTACATTAACTTCTTCCATATAATACACTATTCTGATTGAAAAACAACACAAAAAGGGCGCAATGTTACCTGCTAGACATTTTGGATAGCTTTTAAACTACAATAAATCAGAAACATAGATACAGTATGCCATCAGCTCCAATTTAAATATTCCTTGGACAAAATAACATCTACTTAAGGAACCAAGAACACTGGGACATGGAATTTTATAAGATCAAAACAAACCACATTTGAACATTTACTATACAGTCAGTATGAAGCTGAGGAATACATGAATCATATCTACTGCTATACTACAAAACTGATCAGTGCTAACATAACTGAATCTTCCTGAGTGATCTGCCTTGTGAAAGTGGAGTTAGTATTATACATTGTGATGACTCACTTTCTCCATCACAAGGGGTTGATGTGATGAACCACACATCATATTAATGCCCAGAAGGTATGTCAGAGCCCAGTGATATGACCAAGCGAAGGTCATTTGGGCAGGATACCACCAATAGCGTGTTTCCCCAGGAGTCCACATTGGGACAACACTGGGGCTCTGATAATATACTCTTTAGGTATGGATATAATATATGGCTGTATCACCCAACACATAAACTACTGACGGAGACAGAAATTCTCCAAACTGGTGGATACTGTCCCCATCTTCATACAGCTAACTGCCTGCAAAAATTTCATTGCAGTCAAGGAGGAAGCTTCAGACCATATTAATTAAATCTCCCACCTATCAGACAAGCAATTTTAGGGAAATCAATCTCCTATCCATAATTCTGATGCACTGGCAAGGAATAAAATAAAACAAGTTTATAAGAGAAACCAAGACTTTAAATAAATGCAAAGGTTCTGAAATTATGTTTTTTAATGGTTTGGAATGAAATTCATGCTACATATTAGCCTACCATGCTTCAGCCAACAGAACCAAATATTTCAATGTTTTTAGTCATGATGAAAACATGACACTGATTTTAGCATTTGTGTACATTAACCAATACAACTTACATCTCACGTTTACTATTTTCAAATACAGCAAATACTGCATAGTTAGACACGTTTATGAAGTAAGATGAGAAAGAATGGTAACATTTAATAAGTATTCACTGATAAGTGTATTCATTCAATGAACAAAAGCTTAAGATAAACCAAAATCCATATCAAAATACTAAGAAATGCAATAAACGTTACTACTTGGTAAGCCCTGTCAAAATTACTGAAACTGCTGTATTGTATCACCTCAAAACAATTCTACAACTGCATCTCAAACTCATCATGACCCCAACATCTATTTCCCATAACTGTAGCATTTGCAAACAATACCAGTTTGCCCTTCCAGTACTGGTGCTAATTAAAAAAACGTGATTAACAACAGCAGTCCGCACAATCATTCATTACTTTTCAAATATATCTCCTTTTAAACCCCCTATCCATAAAACAGATAATCACTCACTACAGCAGACTTTCTTGTAAAATGAGTAACTTCTTCTTAAATTTCCACCTTCATGGCACACATGAGTGGAACAAAGACACTACATCTGATCCAAGCATATATTACAAGAATATTCCACCTCTGAAAGGTCATCTGCAGAGAGAGGGAAATTCAATTTATACATTCCAATCACAACTATTTGTGTTTAAGAACACTTATCAGATGTGTGAGTGGAGGCATGAAGTAAAAGTTCTTAGACTGTGTACCAACTGGACAGGAGACAGAACAGGAACCAGAACCATTCTGAATGTGGTGATGTAGCTCTGTCAATACTGCTGGCAAGAACTGACGCCACTTTGTTCCATGACTAGTCACTTTACCAATTGCGTCAATACCGCTGGAAAGAACTAACCTCACTTTGTTCCATGACTAATTACATTACCAAATACACTAACTCCATATGAACCATTTACACAAAATGGCTTAGTAACCTTTCTTTATTTTCTGATTATCGTAAAGATATAAGCAAATATGTGATGAATGATAATGCGAACCACTGTTCTGGTAGATGATTATATGCATTCTCCCCACTCACCTCGTGACTTCTTCTTTTCCTGGTCATACATTATGACAACCTCCATTACTTTTCCAAATCGTGTAAAATATGTCCGAAGGTCTGTCTCTGTAATGTTGGATGGAAGTCCACCCAGAAATACTTTAGGGTAGCTGTTGCTGCGCTTTGGCTTCTGTAAACTTCGTGGATTGCATGGCTTTGGATCAATCTTGGCACCAAGAGAGAGAGGAACGTATTAAGCATTAGACCACATGCACAAGATATGGCACCAGTTAAGTTATGGAAGTAAATTTCAATCCAATGAGAATAAAAACATGAGAAAAAATTCTGCAAACAAATACTCTGTGATGAAAGGAGACTGTAACAGAAAAGTTATGTTTGTGCAGAGAATCTGACCTAAGAATTATGACTAGGAAATAATTGGAACTTCCTTTCCTACATACTGTCCACTGCGGAGGGCATCTTATAGTCGAATAAAATATCATACTCTTATGCCATTTACAGCGTAATTCCAAGAAAACAAAAACTATAATTTTCAATTATCTCTTCTAATGTAACGAAGCATAAGATCAGACTTCTTGATAAATTTTCACCAGAAGATCATGAATATTAATCAGAAGCACACAACCATAATACATAATTAACTACAATTTAAAGGAATATGCAAAAGTAAATTATATGTAGCACACCACCAGGTCATTTATACATACAGGAAAATATCCAATCCTCTTAAATCACTCCTGAATTTTTTAAAAAGATGCTGATCACGTTAATGGGAAGTAAAGAATCTATTGTTTACCGTTCGCCCATCCAACTGATGTGGTCCATTTTGTAACACCAATGAAACATTGGCTGGGTCAGAGAATGTGACAAAACCAAAACCTCGTGATCGTCCTGATTCACTATTTTTCATAACAACACAGTCAATCACTTCACCATAACGGGAGAAATACCGCTGCAGATTCTCTGGAACCAGAAGCATAATCACATACAGCAAAATGAATTACACATACTCTGCATTTGCATTTATATATACATAAACATTTATGAGATAAGTCTTATAAGACAGTTCCATTGTTAAAATAAAATGAAGTGGATGACTCATATAATAAATCCTACTCTATAAAACAGAGTTCTATATAGCTGAATATCATGTTAGACAAATCATTCATTATTCAGTGGGTCTACTGTTATGATAAAACATGAACTACCATTGTTCCACGTTCTGTTCATGTAATAAAGTAGGGGGGGGGGGATATCTGGCAACTGTACCGTGAACCAGCCTTTCCATGAAGCACAGTCACTGTGGGGTTTGCCAACTTTCCTCTGTGGCCACCTATGTCGCAGGCCTAGGCCCTAAAGCCAATGTTGTTACTGCTATGATGGTTTACTGTATTGTATGGATTTCATGAATATCTCTACCAGCCGTCACGAGCAATGCCAAGTGCTTCAGTTCATGTAAAAGCCTGAGGATTTCTCGTTCACTTACAGCATATGCTTAACATACCTTCATAATTACATAATTGCATCTGTACAAAATACAGAGAGCAGGGCAAACCAAACACTAACTTCTACATGATGTACAAGGTGTAGATTTTTTGTGCTCCATTTGTCATCATTCTGTTTTCGTGTGTCCATTCAGATAAAACCTAAAGGAGCAGAACGTTAGTTCTCAATGCAGATCATCACTGAATTTGCTGAAGAAACCAGCTGACAAAAATTACTGGACCATGCGGCTGTAGTGTGCACAAGTATCAGTTTGTGGGGCCACAGCTGAAATTATTTTGCTGTGGTTCTCACAAGATACCTTGTGTTGGACATGGGTAAGTCTATACACTAAAATGTATTCTGCATGAATATCACGTGATATGTGTTGTCCGTCAGGAAGCGTCAGAAAAGACTGGGAAGAATGTACCCTAGGGTTCAAGTTCCTCATAAAAACACTACTCACAATCTTGTCAATACAGTACAGGGGTGCTGACAGCATGCAGAAAGTCAATATCCAGTACTAATACAAGAAACGCTACACAATATCGAATTCAGCTGGAATATTCGTCTAGCCTATGCAGTGAACTGCACAAGAAATGAGAATATCAAGAGACTTCAAAGGTAACAAGATTATTTTAAGTACTGTAGTTGTGTGCCCTTTGAAGCCATGTGATTCAGTAATTTCTGTAACTGCTATTTTGTCAGTTAATTTCGGTGCCCTTGTTCCTTAGCTGACAATTTACTTAAAGTTTTATTTAAATGGATATGTAACAAAAAAAAAACTGAAAATGGAGCAAAGGAAACTCATACCTTGTACACAATGTTACACTCTACATTGTAAAAGTTGGTGTTTGTTGCGCTATTAAGGCTGCAGACATAATCCATAGAGATGTAAGGTAGATAACAGGAAGAGATTTAACAATTTTCACTCTGCAATGTATTAGCTAGTCTCATACTGGCCAAGCAGGAAACGTGATAATCCATAGTAATTACACACAGCACAAAGCTAACAACAATCATTAAATATCCTCCCTATGCCAAATATTTCATTGCATAAACAAAATAAAGAACAAAGTAGTTCATGTTTGGTCACAAAAGTGAATGCACTGCATAACGAACAGATGAAGTATAATGTTCTAAAACACACATAATATAGTAGTAGTAGAGTAGTACAGATAATACATCAACCATTAGGAACTTCATCGCCTGGTATGACGACCTCAAAATAAAAGCCATCACTCTGTCAGATTCGTGGAAGGAAACAAAGCCTCCCCTTATGTTGTGAAACTGCTGTTATATCCTCCATTTACAGTAAATGTTAAGACCTCTAATTCATAAATTTGCACAAATTTTGAGGTTAAATTACATCTATTATTTTCCAACAATTCCATCTTTTCCAGAGTCTGAGGTCTCCTACTGGTCTTTTGAGATTCTCCATCTGTGAATACGATTAACTGAGTTGGTTATGAAACCATTAAATTTTACAGCACTCAGTACTGCTATCTTCAAAAAGAGATAATGAGTAAAATAATAACCAGCAAGAACATTACTAACCTTGAGTGGTCTCCCAGCTTAAACCTCCAACAAACAGCTTCCTAAGGAAAAAAGAATTATGTAAGTTCAAACTATCAAGCAACTGCACCAAAATTCAGTAACAACTTTCACTAGTGGTCTTTTTCAAACAATGCAACATTATACAATGCCAAAAGTGAGTAACTCTATCATTTTGGAAAGTGAAGATGGATGGCACACCCAAGAAAAGCAGTATCACACAAAAAACATGATCCTTATAATGGAGGGGTCAAATCACTTTCCTAACAGCAAGGGTAATAAGAGAATGGCTGCAGACTAGACAGCATAGGAAGTGACGTGCAAACAAACACTGCTTTACTGTGAGAGCATCTTGGTTTGAGCCAGTTTTAACTCAACTCCAAGAAGTCTCACAAGTTACAGAATCCTTGCAGTCCCCTACAACTGTTCAATGTAGTCCAATAAAATGCCGTAGGTAGCATCTTAATTGCTTTTCCTTGACACGAAGAAACTTTAGAAATACTAACTCGGGAACATGTGATGAGTTGTGCCTTCCACAGCCTTGGTCCATATCTCCCTTCACCCTAAACAAAAAAACACAATGTTACAAGGAATAGTCCCTGTCAAAAAGACAATCTGAAAACTCACTTCTGGCAAAGTTTAATGTCACATTATAAAAAGGAACTTGTTAATGTGTTTCCACTTATGAGAACTATTTCTTATTGGCAAACAATTTAGAAGTTGTATTAGGTGCACTTGGAGTGTTATGGGGACTATGGACCACATTCTAAGCAGATTGAATTAATTCTAAGATATATAAGGCACATATTGCCAGTACCCTTCACCTTAGGCTGCTGCTGCTGCACGCAGTCTACTACTGCCACAGCTGTGGGAACCCAAGAACAAACTGCAGCAATGCTGCACCTTGGCAGACTCCATGCACCACTTGAAAATCATTTAGCTGCAGTGCTATTTCAAATAGACCACTTCTGTGGTCTAGCGGCCAGAGTTCCTGGCTAGAGGTCTGGGTTCGATTCCCGGTGCTACCAGATTATTTCTGAGAAGTAGTGGGTCTGGAATGTGGTCCACTCAGCCTTGTGATAACTGAGGAGATATTTCAAGGAAAGAGCGGCTCCAGTCTAGAAAACCGAAATTAACAGCCGTGGGGATTCGTTGCGCTGACCACGTGACACCCTCTATCCACTAAAGCTGGCACTAACTTCGGCGACAAGCGGTCGTCACTCGGTCGGTATAGTTCGCTTGCGGACTAAAACCACGGAGTTTGTTTTTTGTTTCTTTGCTATTTCAAATACTAACAACTTCCCCTCAAGTTTAACCATGCAGTTTCCAAATGTTTAATGAAATCTTAACATCTCTCTCCTGATAATACTGGTACTGAACAAACAGAAAGCCCCACACAAAAAATTAGCCATCTTTCCTAGATTTAAACAAATACAGAACAAAAACTATAACATTATAGGCTGCCACATTTTGACAGTTGAACCAGAACCACAGTATTACGTTTTTGTTTCTTTCTTTCTGCCATAGCATGAAATTGTTCCCAGACACCAAACCGATTTTGCTATCTGTACTTTATCTTGCTTATGTTCCTACACTGATGTGCTTCAAATTTGATACACCATATAACTGAACTGCGATACAAAGTAAATTTTGCTGTACACTAAAGGAAGAAGTTTTCCTTCCTCCTAAGCAAAACAGATGATTCCAGTATGTCTGTATTTGAATTTCAAACTTATTCAGTCATTCCCCATTGTTCAATATTAACTGATTCTATGACACATTGCTAGTTGGCAATTTCTCGATGAATGAACCCAATTCTAACATGCACTTTGCTCTTCTTTATCAGCCCCATAATTTCACTAATTTCAGTCAGAAAGTTGTAAAATGTGATGAACAGTGTGAATATTGATAAGACTACACTACCACACTATCTGATGAGGCACTATGTTACAAGCCTGAAGGTCGTGGGATCGAATCTCGATCTCATTGGATTTTTTCAATTGACCTAATCCTTCCAGCTGCACAATGGCCATGGGGTCCACTCGGCCTCTAACAGAAATGAGTACCGGGAATACTCTTGGGGGTAAAGGGCACCTGGCACAAAAGGCTGACAACACCACCATTTAGGTGCTGACTGTCTAGAAAATGTGGGAACCTCAATATCTCACAACCCTATGGGCCTCTACAGCCTGTTACAGGGACACCTTTACTTACTTTTTACTTACCACACTATCTGAATGCCTGGCTGACATAACTGAGCTTGTAAACATCGCCAATGGGAGTGTGCAGTTGTGATCGTCAAAGAACTGAATCATCAATTAGCAGTGGATGAGTGTACTGAAAATTTTGTTATCGCCCAACATTTTCAAAGCAAAAGGAAATGATATACAAAGTTTACTAATTTAAATACAAAATACTTGTATTTTTTCTTTTATAAATAATGCCTGGAGGTTTTTAACCAACAGGTGGCTATAATCGTTTCCAAGATCTTTCAGATCTGAACCCAGACACAAGACTCCAAATAACTGAGATCACAAGCCCCCTTATGACACCCATGAAACTACAGCACAGAACAAGCACTTTAAGGATGATCCCATTCACTGACTTTATGCAGTCAAGAGGCGTAGAAAATCATGTCATCCTGCCTTTTATACAAAACTGCTAGCTGACATCACTCAACCCCTTTTATTCACTTGACAGAGAAGTCACAGTTTGATGGAACGTCTGACACAGGTTTACTGGAAATACAAAGTGGTTCAAATATGACAGGGACTGATGTGTGTAAACAGGCCGCACCGCACAGCAGCTGTGCGGCCTTGAGAGAGTGAAGCCACAACCTCCACCCTCCCTCCTGTTCGGGTTAGAACCTATTCAGTCTGTCTGGGAGTTGCTAGAATAATGAGTGAACAGCAGGTACCGCGGAGCATGGAATAACGCACTGTGATCAAATTCCTCCTTGGAGAAAATGTTCCGTCCGCTGAAATTCACCACAGACTCCAACAACAGTATGGGGAAGTGTCTGTCTCACAGACCCATGTGTTTGAGTGGTGTAAGTGCTTCAGAGAGGGCAAAGAGCATGTGGAGAATGAACTGCATCATTGTCGGCCGTGAACATCTGTCACCGAGTCAAACATTGATCATGCAGACACACTTATTCATGAGAATAGGTGCATCACAATCAAGGAACTTGGAGCAATGCTGTCCATCAATGTTGGTAGTGTAGAAGACATTGTGAAATACCACCTGCACTATGGCAAGGTACCATACACTTTGACAGACGTGAACAAAATGGTGCATGTGCAAGCTGCCAGTCATCTCCTACAGCAGTCTGAAGACAAAGGTATTGCATTTTTTAAGTCTATAGTGACCACCGATGAAATGTGGGTGCACTACTTCATTCCCGAGTCCCAGCAGTCACCACGCAAGTGGCGGCATACCAGTTCTCCCAAACCCATGAGGAGCCATTCAGCAGGAAAAGTGATGTCAACATTCTTCTGGGACTGGCAGGGGGTTATCCATGTAGACTTTCTGACAGATGCCAAAACAGTCAATGCAGCTTATTACTCAGACCTCCTGGCAACAGAAGTAAAGGAAAAGATCCAATCCAAGCAGAAGACAGGTGGAAAGCGGGTAGCCTTCCTTCAAGACAATGCATGCTCCCATAAGGCTAAAATAACAATGAAACCCTCCGGAAATTGAAATGGAACCTTCTGACACATCCGCTGTAGTCCCGAATTGACCCCAAGTGATGTCTCCCTGTTCGGAAGGCTCAAACAGACTTGCAAGGCATGCGGTTTGTGGACGATGACGCCGTCATCCAGACTGTTCGGGAGTGGATACGCTATCAACCACAATCCTTTTATGAAAAGGGCATCAGGTTGCTTCCAGAATGTTGGAAACAATGTGTTGACTCCAGAGCAGAGTACGTTCAAGACTGACATGTGCAAGTAAGTGTTTGGCAATTATGGTTTTTAAAAAAAAATCAGTCCTGGTCATATTTGAACCATCTTGTATGTCAAGTAATTCACTGTGCTGTAAGTCATAAAGTTTCTATTTGCAACTGCCATAAATGACTTAACATGAACTGTACTTTCTAGTTAGTTTAAAATTTGTAGAACCTGGTAACTGGCAAGTGTACAGAAAGTATTAAAATGACAGGGTCAATCTGACATCAGAGGTTTTATTCAAATTTAATTTACCCGAAGTCTGAACATTCAGATAAATATGTTATGTACTACAGAACGCACCATTCACAGAAACAGAGAGTGTAAAATCTTCAGAGATGTATGCTGACTCTTTAAAGTTTCTAGGCGCCTATGTATTTAAGTTCAAACTTATAACTTCAGTTCCAACTTCAAAATATTGAGATTTATTCTGATTCCTCAGACATACTTCAAATATGTGGTTGAACTTTATTACTTGAGACGTCAAATTATTATTGTCACAGATATTTAACCAATGTGAACTTCAATACAACCAAACACAGAAAGGATACAAGTATAGTTAATCTGGGGTGATGTAATTTTACTATTCGTGAAACAACAGTTTGTGCAGACAATATTTGGCCCTCAGTACTAACCTTGACTTGGGGCCACGCCATAGCTCAAGTGGTTAGTTGCTGGCTTCCCACCGCGGCGGCCCGGGTTTGATCCCTGGTCTGGCCAAGTGAGATTCGTGGTGGACAAAATGGCGCTGGGGCAGGTTTTCTCTGAGTACTTCGGTTTCCCCTGCCAATCTTCATTCCACCAATTGCTCCACCATCACCCTCACCTATCATCTGGGGTTGGTACAATAGGCCAGAAGTGGTCGCAGTACAAGGGACTTAGCCCATCCCACTTACTTACTTACTCACTCATGGAGCTGAGCCCTTCTGGAGCCGCCGCCAATTCTGCAGTTACTCAAGAATTTCCCTACTTTTATGGAACCCGAAGGTTCATTACCATGTTCACAAGAGCCCTCCACTTGTCCCTATCCTGAGCCAAATTAATCTAATCAATACCATCCCATCCCATCTCTCTAAGATCCATTTTAATACTGTCCACCCACCTACGCCTTGGTCTTCCCTCAGTGGTCTCTTTCTTTCTGGCTTTCCCACCAATATCCTATATGCATTCCTTGTTTCCCCCATTCGTGCTACATGCCCTGCCCACCTCATCCTCCTAGACTTGATCATTCTAATTAGTCCCACACCAATAGCAATAAAAAAAGATTTTGACATAATGTAACAAGATCCATGTCTATCTTACATCTCATTCCTTTCTAGTTCTCCATGGTACCCTTAAATGTGACCACTCAGATAAGTCACTATTAACATCGCAACCAGACTGAGCTAGCCCAATCCTTAATTCATTCCATGATGAAAGAAGAAAATGCGGGACCATGCGTGAAGATGAGGAAAGTGTACAACCAGCATAATAGGTTCTCACATTTCTTCGTAGAAATTCTCCATGAGAAAAGCTACCTACAGATGAAACCTTTTGCCATTTTCAACACTGACCACACCAAGATCGTTCGCAGGAAAACATCTTAATGTACAAAATGTATTGTCACGTGTCTTGAGTTC